AGGAAGGCGCCTGCTCAATCAGCTCCGGTAAGTGCACCTAGTGCCACTGCAGCCAGTGAGCGGCAGGATGCAGAAATGGAAAAGAAAAATGAACGCACAAATGCAGTGCGACAAGAGAGGCAAACCCCCTCCCAGCTTCTCCCACTGACGCAGGCGCTCGGCCTCAGAGGATGGGGGAAAAGGGATGCGTATCTGGCCATAGCCCTTCCCTGCCTACAGGTACTGACTCCAGAGATGTTTCTCCGGCAATAAGCCTGGGTCAACTTGTCCTTACATTCATGCACAGAAGGTTGCTCAAAAGGCATCTACAAACACTTGGCATGGGCACAGAGGTGTGAAAGGCAGGTCTCCCGCAGGCAGCACGTGCCGCATGTCCGTGTGCACAGACATGCCAGCGCACGCAACCCCAAAAGCGGACACAGAGCACGCAGCCGAGGACGACGTGGGAGAAGCACGGTCCAGGCCAGCGTACGCAGATGCGCTTCCCCTCAAGCCCCCCTCTAATAAATGTCCAGGAATATGACCAAACAAAAGCAAATCCCCTCCATGCCACCTTCTCCCCTGCTTTCTGTAATCACCTCCCCTCTATTCCCTACAACTACTGTATTCTTTAAGTCACATCCTTCTTTCTCCATGCACCCCCACTGCTTCAGTACATATTTTTGTATATTGAACAAAAAAGTTGGCAGTCCATTTTAGCGATCTTTTCAAGGCAACTTTTACAGTGCCGCAGATTCATTCCCAGGTATGTCTTGTCTGTAATAAAATCACTCTGCCCTTGATCCAACACTGACCTACGCACACGCAGTGACTTTCATGTACGTGTGCAGCCTTACTGGTTTCATTGGGACTGCCTGCCTGTGCACTTCAAGTTTAATGCAGACAGAGTCCTTCATGCAGTTTTCTTAGCAACAGCAGCGGAGTACAAAGCTGCCGCTGTATTGACCAGCAGCAGGCTGATACTCAGGTAATTTGGAGGATCGGGTCAAAGCGTTCAAGTAAGGATGAGGAGCGTGTGTCCATTTTCCTTTAAGCAAGTACCCAGTTTTGCTGTTGCTTAAATAATGAAGTGGTAAAATTTCCAGGGAAATACAGAAGTGCAAAATCGGGACTAAATTCATGAGGAAGAGCGCGCCTGTGATCCTCCCCAAGGCTATGAACTCACGGGAGGGAGAGGAGGAGGTCACAGCAGTGCTTACGAACAGACCCGAATACTGAAATTCAGGGATGCCAAATATTTGCCCAGTGCTATAAATCAGCACAAGGAGAAAGCACAGGAAGATTTTTACTTTCTTCTCTCGGCAGCCAAAGATACCCCTTCCTTTCAAACGGCCAGCCAGACCCATACTAGTTCTTATGAGCCCAGTTTCCCCCTTTCACATCTGCTGTAGCACACCTGATGCTGATGAGACTCCACTATTTCCACACCAAGGAGCTATTCACTTTGTAGTAAAAAGATCTGAAAAAAAAAAAAATTTAAACCCTGAAAGACTGAGAAAACATTTTAAAAGCCCCCAAATGAAACTCAGAAACTGAAAAGCCACAGACCTCATCCAATGCTCCTCACCAGGGTGTTTGAAAATGCTGTTTCCTATGTTTAACACCAGGGTAGCTTCCTAAATCGCTTTGATCACAGGGGTTTCTTACACTTTAAATTACACAAAAATGTCTGCTTCTTCTATAGCTGGGGCTTTCCCCCTGGCTTTTATGCAAAAATCCCTATTTAAATGTTTTACGTATTCTAAACAGTAGAAATTTAACAGCATGATCTGAAGAAAAAAACTCTATTAAGCTCTGGCTCCTGAAAGCAAGTTTCAGGGAATTCACTTGAATAACTATTTGCATGAAGCAGCACAATGGGACTTCCAAGGGTCCCTTACCCTAAAACCAGTCAGAAGAGCACGCTGGAGGAGGAATTAAGACTAACTTTTCATAGCACATTTCAGCATCTTAATAAATAAAAAGACAACAAGGTTCACGTGAACAGCAAAACCCAATGCGCATCAGCCAGGTGACAGGCAGAATTTAACACATTTTCTGTAATTCTTCTGCAGAGCAGGCAAAGCCTCGCACCTCCAGCTCCAGTTACCTGCCTGCCTGTTTTTAACTTTGGGAGAGCTGCCTGAAGGCCGGCGGTGAGGTCTGCAGCTCCAGAGATGCCTGGCTGGGCATGAGGAGGAGGAGAATCCCCCCCATGCAGGACGCCCCTGCCTCCCCACCAGACCCACCATCAGGGACAAGCTGGGGACAATCAAGACGGACTCAGACACCCACAGCCTAGGAGAAAAGGCAAGAATAATAAGGAGCTTAAATGAATTCAAACTCCCAAAGATAAAAGCAGTGCAAGTTAGCACACATAGCGGAGCAGGGCAATGCAGCCGACGCTTCAGCTTCAGAACCACCAGCTCACATGCTCTGTTTTCAATAGCTTCACATTGTCATTTCTAGCTCTTCGTGAATACAGGAAAGGAGAGCATTGGCACTTAATAATTTATACTGGACCTCAAAACGGAAAGTAGGGCAGCCTTCATTTCCCCAGCGCTGAGGGATACGGGATGGCTGACAGGAGTAACGAGAGTCTGCGTGGGAGCAGAGGCCAAACTTTCTGTTCATGCAAAGGAGGCTCCTCAAACAGGCTGCTTGAGGCTTTCCATGAAGGAAAATTGTCCTTCTCCCCGTCCCTTTCTTGCCTGCTTATTTTGAGGTTGTGGGGAAGGCTGCAAGACTGAGACAGTAGTTTAAACCGCAGCTTAAAATGAAAATATCAGCCCCGCTAGTGTTTTCGGATCTTCCCAAAACGGAGGCCAGAAAATGTGCGTGAGGGGCTGCTTTAAAAATCAAGAGCTAGCAAAAGCATGAGCCATGTAATAGCTGGTCTCTCAGAGACAGAACAACAGATCAGGCTAGTGTTTCCAGCTCACTCCCAGAAGCCACTTTGATATCCCACTGCCTTCGCTGCCAATGGAAGCTCAGAGAGGGGAAGCACCTGCCCAGGGCTATCTGAATTATTTACCAGGGACGCTCAGCTGGCGTTATTTCCCACCTCAGTCCCTTCAGACAGTCCTAAGACCACAGTCGCACCCTGAGACACCCCCCGCCCCGTGCCCAGCTGCTCTGCGGGACAAAAGCCAGCACGGCGTGCCGGGGTGAGGGCACTGCAGGATCTGCCCTGGGTGTTTTGTTGCCCCCAATCCGCATTGCCTGGACACAGCACGATATATTTTGTGTCGGTTCCCATCCCTTCACTATCTAGCATTTGGAGGCCAAATTTAAGGCTCTAGGGAGCTCACATATTTGGGGTCAATTTTACCTTCTCTAAAAGCAGAGATAAAACTCTCTGAATTATATATGCCCCAGAGCCACACAGACTGCAGTGGGAAAGTGTGTCCCCCCTTGAACTTTCAGTCACTCACAGAGGGGTTGCATGGCCACAGGAGAAATGGCACCGTAGAGCCAAGCTACACAAAAGCTGAGGCTCTGGATGGTTTCCAGCGTGGGACCGACCTCCAGCCACATGCTGCCGGCCCCATCCCGAAAAGCAGCAGCAACAGGCAGAGGCGCTTACAGCTGGATGGGGCAGAAGGCTGGATGGTCTGCTGGCTCGATGAAACTCCACGCCAAAACCACCAAGCTCCTGAGGCTTGGGCAGTTTCAGATGTTCACACTTCAGCCAAGGCAAGCTGCTACAGACGTGTAGGAGGGTGCTAACAGACCACTGGTCTTCATCTGTTTTACAGCAGATGCTTGTGCCTCTATTTAACACTTAGCGCAGCAACTTGCACCACTCAAAATGGAAGCCTGTGGTATTAACTAGCACAGGCAGAGACAGGCAGCTTGCTGCAGCCGGCACCTGTGCTGCTCCAAATGGGTACACAAGGCCGTCTGACTACACAGTGTGAAGTTCAAGCACCCATCTAGCTACATTTGTGCTACGGGAAAAGAGGTCTGGTTGAACCATAGTGGGTTCTTGGCACAGGCTCATGTCAGGAGTCCCAGTGCCACTGCTCAGCTAATTTATTGTAGTTTTCTCACTAAAAAGATCTTCAAGAATGTCATCCTGTCCTCTATCAATCAGAACTGAATTTACATCTTTAGCATGGATACATTAGGATTTAACTAGTTTTCCACACAATGTCGGAAAGGGTAGCTAAGATCCCTGATTGCATCCGAGACTTTAAATTAAAAGCTTTTTCTTAAACAAAAACTTTGTACCTGTACACGAGGGGCTGCACAGCTTTGGTACCTACAGAACATGCACTGCAGGCACATCTGTCTTACATGCAACACATACTGGGGGAGCAGATTTCTTGGACTATAAAGCAGGGGGGTTCAAAAAGAGAAATGATCTGCCTTTCTGCTTTCTCAGCAGAACAGAAACCAAGGGCCAAACTCACTAACCCCTTGCTCGGATAAGCTGTTATTATTCATGGGAGCAAATCTGTTTATACCAACATACTCATTTGAGTACAGGTTGCGGAGCTGGACTCTAAATTCCTGTGTAACAAAGCCTTCATAACAATCTCGAGTTTGTTCCCAGAGCTCTAAATAAGCACCACTATGAAATGGCTTTGTGCTGGGTAAACACCACGGAAAGAAGTGGCCAGGCTGAGGGCTGAGCTGTGGGGACAAGCTGAAAAACTCAGGCAAGTGTCTGTGTACAGAGAGCTTTTTTCCAAAGCAAGCTCTGCAAGCAAGAACGAGGCTGGATTTCCCCAGTGTCCACACTTTCAGCATCCTGACCTTTCTTTTCCAAGTATAATCCGCTATTCAGACTCTGACACAGCAGACCAGCCCCTGCGTATCACGCTGACACGCAAGCCTGGGCTCCAAGTCACCACGGTAGCTTAGCCTAGCTTGTTCCAGCTTTTTGTTCTGTTTGAAATGGGATGTCGGCCTCCACCTGCCAGCCCGCACGCCTGGTTTGTGCTTGGAGAGTTGGTGCTTTTACAGCCAGACTTGATACTGGAGTTCGGGGAATTAACTGGAAAGTCCAAGCATGCCCTTTCTTTTCTTTTCCTAAAGAATTAATAAAAAGAGAGAGAGCATGTCTAAAAATTGGTATTAATAGGTTGATGTCCTTCAGGGAATCTGATGAAATGTGCTTGTCAGGAAACGCTTAGTAGACTGATGGGATGTCCCCGGCAGCCAGGCAAGCAAGCCAGCCTCTGGCTTTTTAATTGTGCACAGCACAAGCTGAGTTCATAGGCATGACAGCAAGTTGTGCTTTCACTGAAGAATCTTCCAAAATGAGCCAAGACGAATCTCCAGAGACCAGAAAAAGGCACATAAAAGTAAACTGATCAGTTTAGATAACATGTCAACATTCCTGGTCAAGTAGATGTGGTTTGACACAGCTGGAACTCAGAAGCATACAGACTCTGGGAATCCAGCAAAAATCTCTCACATCCTTTTACAGAAGCATTGCCGACTGGCGAAAAACATGCACAGGAAATCAACTGAGGGTGGGGAGAGGGAGATCACGTAACAAGTCTTCTGTCTGGGCTTTCCCATGTCAGCCACACTGGCTAGTAGTGGTGCTGGTACACAGCTGCTGGGGTAGTGCCATTCTCTATGTGTTTCAGATGGCAGGAGTGACAAAGCAAATGTTCATCTAGTGGGTAACAGCGATGCCCGTCTTCGTCGTTCAGTTCCATCCCACAGTCCTGCAATGAGAGGTCAGGCAAATTATTAGAGCACGTGTCCGTCTTCCAGCATCAAGAGGGGTCTGGCTTCCAGGAGGGTGATTTTGTGACAAGGACAGAAGACAGACAGCCAACAGCTCCTTCCTAGTAAGTCCAACATTTGCCACGAGAAGGAAAGCATCTGAAATAGGCATTTCGAGGGGCAGCCTTGCACAAATCTGTCTTACAAGTTTTATTGAATAAGCTTTATCTCGTGGAGAGATGCAACCCTATGTATTTTAAACGTGCTCATGTCTCCTTACACCCTCAGGTAGGATTCACCTCGTCACATTACATTCATTGCAGTTGTACTGATGTGAAACCAGCCTGAGTCAGGGCCTCTTTCCACTGCATATGAGTACAGTGAGAGAAGACATCTATTTCTTTTAATTTACAGAACCGGAGCATGAAGGCTCTCTGGGAAGCCCTGCACGGAGACCAAACGGTGTTCAAGAGCTGGCATCCCTTGAGATTTTTTTGTGCAGCCATATCCTTTCTCCAGCCCCAATTACGTTTGTTTCCCATGAGAGTGAAGGTAACATACACCAGACAGGATCAGTCATCACCTTAGCATTTTTGAATAATCTGACTTGGAAATCAGATACGCTAATGTGATCTGGAGCTCAAGGCTTCTGAAAGGCAGCAATAGAACCTGATTAAGTCTCCGTGTTTCCTTCATTAACAAATAAACTGCCAAGTTTAAAAGTGATAATTAACTCTTTGGCCATAATTTTATGGATAGCAAATGAAATCACAGCTGAGACACATTGCTGCAAAAACTTTTGTCCTCAAACTGGAAATTTCTCGGCCACTGATAGAAAGGGTCGCACAATGCAAGGTTTGAACTGCTCATCTACTGCCATTGGAAGGGAGGAGATTTATTTCCATCTTAAAAATAATAGTAGTTATCACTATTAAGTGCCCACTCCCTGAGAAAGCTGCTGACCTACCTCGCAGTGGTAACATTCCACGTGGTAATCCTTGTCCATGGACACAACCCGAATGGTCTCATCAGACCCCTGTAAGCATTCCAGCAAAAGAGAAATTAAAAAGGATTACAGCAGGAATCAGACACGTGCTCTGTAGATTGCTTCCTGCAATAATGTGAATGTTGAACAAACGGATTTGAGCAGCTGGTTGGACACCACAAATAAATCCTGCCACCTGCAGTTATTTTTACAGTAAAGCTTCATCATCGACTGCAGATATCCTCTAAAATGTAACATCAGAAATGTTAAATTCTCTCTGTTTAACAGTCACATCTATCCCAAACCAGGCATTAGTGATTTGGTAATTTCAATATATCACATTTCTCAGCATTTTAAATTGGTTTTGCCCAAGATTCATCCCCTCCAAGTATTAAAATGAATTTGTCCCAGAGTGGTCACACAGAGGTCATTCATGAGCACCACCAGCATTTACTGACATGAAGGAAAGGTATCCCGAACATAAAACTAACAGCAATATAATCCTGCAGGAGATGGAAAAAGCAGCCTGGCTCAGCAGAAATAAGCTTCATTACCGAGCAAAAGAAGGGTCACATCTCAAGGGCAGTGTATGAGCCTAGGTCAAAAGGTTGCATGCTGGAGGAAGCGATCATCTCTCCATATCCCCAAGGACATTCATTTTGACATAGGGTCAAGTGTGAAAGAGAGCAAGAGATGAGACATGACATACGAAATAAAAGGCTCTCACCTCGGAGGGCAGAATGGGAAGTCCACACGCTGCACACTTTGGAGCTAAAACTCTGGAAGAGCAATGAGAACGTGAAGGCAAGTTAGAGATCAACATAAAAAGAGAGGCCTGTACGCTCTCGGCAATAAGACAAAAAGCTGCAGCTGTAAATAACTTATCCACAGGAAAGCTTTACATACCAAGATCATAAATTCATTTTAGGATTGATTGTAAGTAATGCTTGGCACGCACTTGCTCAGTCAGGCAAAAAAAGACCTTACATTTTACATTTAGTGCCAGAAAAAAAACCCAAAACACTGTAGAATTCTTGGCTGCTACTAAGAGATTTGGAAGAGAGAATGAGGAGAAACTGAGCAGGACCGTCCCCAGAAAAACACATTAAGTAAAGAAGTGGCAGCCTTGCACCGGGGCAGGAAACCTCAGAGAAAACACCACGGGACCATAAGGTTCCTTAAGGCCTTATAACACAACGTAACATGATAAATAGATAATTAAATGAAATAGCAAGGAAACGTGCATCATTTCAGAACAACGGTGGCTCACGGGGGCAACTCTAATCTTGGCACAACACAGAACAGCTCCCAGGGCTGCCTGAGCAACACTTAATACTCTGCCTGCTCAGAAAATGGAGCAAGGAGCAAAGCGAACCAAACGGACGCTCAGAATGTATGCAGCTCTAATATCGTAACTACAAGCTAAGAGCGCAGCCATTTTATTTTACTAAATGACAAGTGGCTTTTTAAGTGGATTTATCATTGTTTAATTTAGAGCTGGATAAAAGTTTCACTTTGATTTCTAAAAGCATTCCTTAAAAGTCAAACTCAGCCCTGCAACTACTCAAAAAGCAACTCATGTTGATGTCGACAGGCATTCACAGTCTTACTTTAGAGTGGACTGATTTTTTACATCACTGAACACTTCATGAGCACTATTTCTCACTATCTCTGCTTTGCAGCAGAAGGGGCAGCTGAAGCCCAGGGCTTAAGTGACTTCCTCAGAGTTACACAGGAAGTCAATGGCAGCGCAAGAGGAGAGACATCAGGAATTTCTAGGGTCTAGCCCCATCCTCAAACTTCTACGTTCTAATCCTGTCCCTATTTTACTAATCCACGCTTCCTAATTAGCTGAAAAGCTAAATTAGAGGCTTGTTGATTGGGGCATCTCTGCCGTTTACTTTGTCCTTACTTGTGGTAATCTCTGACACAGTAGATTTTGTTTTCAGAGTCTACAGTGAATGGCACACCATCCAGACACTCGTTGCAGACCACGCATCGGAAGCAGCCTGGATGATATGATTTCCCTAGAGCCTGCAGGATCTGCAACAAACCAAGAGACAGGAAAAAAGCATGTGAACAGCCAATAAAGGTGAAAATAATAAACACGCAGCTTTACATCAGACAATGCTGCATATTCATCAGCGGGGCTGTGTCTTTTTTCGGGCATCTCATCTGCAAAATGAGTTAACAGGGATGGAAAGGGCAGCTGGAATCAATACATATCACCTGGTTCCAGAGAATGAATTATTAGCATGGGGAAGAAAACAATTTAGAGTCTCAGTCAAGATACTTAGCATTACAAAGGATAGAAGTGACAGAATTTAAAGGAAAGAAAATAATTTCTGAAGCCAATAGTTGGAGAATACTTAGCAGGATCACAAGGTAAGACACACCAGGCCAACAAAAGGAAATACATCTTTATATTCTCCATGAGAGGCTGAAACAAATGCTCTTGCTAGGTTTTCATAATGCCTTAGATATCCAAGAGCTTTGTACTCACTAGCCTGGCTTTCTAATTAACACAGACTATGGAAGCTGTATTGAACTCAGCAGATGCAATTCACCCTGCTGGCTTTGGGGCAGCAATTACTACCTGGAATACCACTTCTCAGGATAAAATAGCTTTTCCAGTTTTAGTGCTTTTCAGCGTAAGCAGGCAAGCAAAGATAATTAACGATACGCATTGGGAAAATCTTGGGAGGCGTGCTGTAAACTAACCACTCCGAAATCCGTAATTTCTTTGCTTCAGCCATAGCTCACCAGCTACATGACCACAAATTTGTCTCCCTCTGAATCACCCACAACTAAAGGCTGCCCAGTGCTGGTTAAAGGCCAGCTGACCCCTTGAGCCATGACCCGCTCCATGCAAGTCTTGAATGGATGGTACCTGTTGTAGGTTAATGAGAACTGACTGCTTTCGC